TGACTAATAATAGTGTGAACTTCCATAATAGTTATTTTATAATATTTGTAATGACGATACATTTTTTCAAACCCATAGAAAAATGCATTTAAAAAATTGGAGTGATTGTTTAAAAGATGTACAACACCAAATCGCTATTGTGTCGTAAAAATGGTTTGACGAAAGCCTTCAACAAAGTTTATGGTAAATAAATTGTAAGCACAAGTTACCGACGATCTTGTATACGGATCACGTACAATTTGTATAATCTCGTCATGATTTCCAGTAAAGTAAAAAGATTGCAAACTGAACGGAGACGGAAGCGTCGAGAATAAAGCTAGAGAGTTGATTTGAAGAAAAAAAATCCAATCCCCCTGATTATCATACACTGTTTGATTATATGATTGTTTGTTGAAATAATTATCGATAATAAAGCAAATAAACCGAAATTCAAGGACAAGCGAGTATTCAGATAAAAATGGCCCCGTAAAATATGTTTGTTCCTGTTAGTTCTTTAATTGTTAACGTCCTAAACAACAAATAGTCTTTACAGAATTTTTTTTAAATTGAACATAAATCATTGTAGAATATGACATGAAAAGTTGCTGCTCTCAATTAAAACAATTTATTTATTTATTTTAAGGTAAAATAATAATTTTTATAAATATTTGATGAAAATTAATACAATTTCACTAAAGATAATGATATTTTTATTCGGCTTTAATCATCAAGTTCAACTAAAAAGATAGAATTTTTCTTACATTTTTTATAAAGTTTTAATAGCTTTAAATGTCATATAAGATTTACTACTATTGTTCAACTCAATTACTCGATTGACATTTCTTCGAGTTAGGTCACATCATGCTAATTATTTTATGAATAGGGGTAAAATTAAAACTACAGTGTAAGAAATATACAAAGATAAAATTTTCATCTTTTTTTTTATATTGACTATTTTTATTTTATATCATATGGAAATTTAACTTTATTTATTATATATAACATATACAAAAAAATGTTTATAGATAATTATATTAAATTCCTTAGAGAAATTCATTTAACTAATTATTTAATTTAAAATGAATTAAGTTTGATTTGTACGTATAAAGATTGATATTAATATTCAGAGATAAACCTTAAAAAATTATTTGTATAGCTGATTGTGCTCTTAGTTACCCATATTTTTATTTAAAAGTAGTTGCTATTTTTATATTTATAGTGTAATCGTTTGACTTATACATGGAGGGCTCGGAAGCCAATCAATGTAAGTCACTTCTCTGTGAAAACTGAGTGGGTAATTCAACTTGCGATTTCATTTTTATTATACTGTGTTAGATTTAAGTTTTTCAGTATGTTATATCTCAATAAAAAAGGTTATTAGTACCTTTACGGGACTCTCTATTTTATTACAACAAGTTTTGAAAAATCCCAATTATCTCATTTTCTATATTTAGTGACTTACACTGATTGGCTTCTGAGCCCTCCATATATTTGACTAATTTTCCAAACTTCATAAAATTTCAGTTAAAGTTTTGATGTATAGAAATACAAGTTTTAATAAGAGACAATAAGTTAAGAAATAATTATTATTTTTATGATTGTAGTTATAATTATACAAGGTATCTCAGACCAAACTGGAAGCGCTTTAACTTTTGTACAATTAAATTTTTATGAAATTTTTTTTTCAAATAATTATTGCCTTTTAGACTATGATTAATGCATATTTTTATTATTTATTACTAATAATAGACTGATGACTATTTTGATATTTTGAAAAAAATAATTTTTTTTCTTATTAGTAATAAATAATTAAAAATATACTTTAACGTAGTAGTCTAAAAGACAATAATTTTTTTTTTTAAATTTTTACAAAACGATAATTGTTTCAAAAGTTATAAGCATTGTCAGTTAAATCTGAGACCTCCGTATAATATTTAATCAGATATATCTACATAATGAATCCATCAGATTTCTAAACGGAATAGGTAAATATATCATTTAATCAATATATCATATTACCAAGGATCCTAATTTCTAGGGTATGCATATTTTATTTTGAAAGGTTCTAAAGATACCTAATTATTTATAAAATTATACATATATTATACATGTATATATGATTTTATATTCTTCCAGTTAACATTCATAGACTTCATATTATAAAATATCTGAATTTCGCTTCAGAACAAAAAGGTTTTAATTTCTCTGGAGAACGTGCCAGTTTCAAGAGTTCTGTCAAGAGCGATCTGTCTTTGAGAATCTTTGATATTTTGAATGTATTTAGAAATTTGATAATCCATAGAAATGCTCAAATTTTAAAGATATCATTGAATTATACAATGTACATGATATAAAATTATATAATACACCAATATAATAATGTATTACACCAAGGCCATGTATGCAGCGAGTACGGACTCAGACCGATTCACTCTTTACTGCGCACATATTTCCTACATTTTTAGTGGATATTACTACTACCGGCCGCGATCAACTGTTACATTAGTTATGAACCACTTGTCTTTAATATCGTGTGGTTCACTTGTCAAATGTGATAAGGAAGAGTTATGTATACTGAGGCTTTAAGAACTTGGACTATAGTAAGGTCAAGGTTTGAACAAAAACGTATTAAGTAGTCGGAAATTCAGTTGGCCTCACATACTGCTTGGCAAGATATCCAGAAAATTTGATAGTAAATTATTATNATAAGGTCAAGGTTTGAAACGTATTAAGTAGTCGGAAATTCAGTTGGCCTCACATACTGCTTGGCAAGATATCCAGAAAATTTGATAGTAAATTATTATTAGAAAATTACAAAAAATGGTAAACTTTTTTTTGTCAATGCAAAAAAAATACATAATTTTGATAGTTTTCAATTTTACGCCTCAATTGATAATGCCGTTCTGTACGCAGAATTGTCAAACTCGATTATTTCATTTTATAACTCCAAATTAATACGGTTAAATAAATAGTGTGTTATTATTTTGAACATTAATTCTACGATATTTTTCATTAATAATATATGAATCCAATTTGTTACAATGCAAATACAATATGGTTTATCTCATACCGAAAATTCTCAAAAAATTTTAAGGAATGAGGAAAAATCTTTAATGAACCAGCGTTCCTCCTTTGATGTACCAAGTCAACTGACGCTCCGCACGGGGAGGTATAAGTGTATTAGAATATGACATTTCGATATTGAATGGGAAAACTTATGTATAGTTTTTGTGATATGCTGATGCGCGGAATTATCAGCCGCCGTGCAATATTAATCAACTCACTCCTATCTTGAACATTTTTGCTATGAGATTATCAATTAAAGAATGTTATCTAATTAGTNAAGTGTATTAGAATATGACATTTCGATATTGAATGGGAAAACTTATGTATAGTTTTTGTGATATGCTGATGCGCGGAATTATCAGTCGCCGTGCAATATTAATCAACTCACTCCTATCTTGAACATTTTTGCTATGAGATTATCAATTAAAGAATGTTATCTAATTAGTGCATTATTGTTTATATTTAGACAACAGCTCTGCGGATTCGTGAGTATAGTTTGTTTCTTTTTTAATTTTTACTATAGTTATTAAAAGGTTAAAAAGTTATAACAAAAGGTTAATTAAATTACTCGTTTATATTAAGTCATTTGCATTAATAAGCTAGAATGACTATCTAGCTAATTCTCATAGACGTTATTTAACTTATTGCAGTCAATACATTAAACTAAAGAATATGATCAATTGTTACTCTTACTCACATTAATTTTAGTTATTTTGATTGTTTTATAAAGTTTAATGAAAATTATTTCTAAAATTGTTTGATATTAATATCTTGTTCAATTTGAACTCTAATCATTAAAAATAATATGTGGGTTCAGTTTAAAATGTACTAAATTTTGGTTTAGGGCACTCGTAGCATTTGGTAGCCCGTATAATGATATATTATTTTAAAAAACCAAAAAAAGGTACATACCTGGTGATGTAAAATTAATGGACGAAGTCAACTCAAAAAGTATAAAAAATAAGAATAAAAAAATAATTACTATACCAGTATTTCAAAAATAATTACAAAGCTATTTCGTGTTTTAAATAATTATTTTTTCATCTAGTATTTATAGGTGGTAAGAGAGAATAAGAAAAACTACCGTATTTAAACAAAGTCTACTTTAGTAAAAAATGTTCAAATTAATAATGACAAATATAATATATTACTTTTTTAAATTTGAATTATTGATCATACATTTTTATTTTACGCTATAATTTTAGCTGCACAAAAACAATTGTACTTACCTCGATTTCTTAATATTGTATAAAACTACAAATTTTTAATAATTTAGAATATTTTTGTACTTGTAATATTAGAAAATAAATTCGTAAAAAATAACAGTTTTACCTCTTTGCTTTGCGTGAAAGAATTGACCAAGAACTCTTAAAATTTACCAAACATTTCTATTTAGAAATTAGGATAAACAAATATTTTTGAACAAAATGATGAGTACCTAATTTAAAATTTAAAAAAAATAAAGTCATCAAGTATGACGAAGGGCTACCTTAAAAAGTGCTACTTTATTTGATTTGTATAGTTACTACAATGATGGTCAGGTGAAATAAATATCTCAAGTTTTTTTGAAATAATATAAAAATATACCTTTAATGTTTTAGTAAATAATTACTATGTTTTGTTTATATTACCGTTCATCTATATTTTGTTAATAAAATGAAAAAAATATGAATTTTTGATCAGCTACATGAATGATATTTATTCAAATTAGTTGATAAACATCATAATAGCAGTAAGATTAAATAATATTAATAATTAGAAAATGTATTGCAAAAAATCAGTTCCATCTGGTTAGGAATTTTGTAACAGATACTTTTTAGTTTTACACATTTAGTTTTATATATAGTAATTTGAAACATTCAATATATTGTATACATTTGAGATAACGTTTTTATGTTTTTATCGTATCAATATTCACACATGTAATAAAAATAAATTATAGCAATGGTACTCACCATGGTGACTGGACTAATGGATCCAAAACTACGAATATAAAGTTCACAGTGAACGTTTGTTGCATTATCTGTAAATATTCATACAATATCATATCAAAGAATGAATTATTGTTACGTGTTTTGTTTAATTAAACAACAAGTTTCATTTAAATATTTATATAAGATCATAAGCAAAATTAAAAAACAGTCAATATATGAATTGAATATTTTTCTAGGTTTTTTAGTTACACGTATTAAATTGTTACCAATATACAATAAATTTCCAATTTTAAAATTAAAACCTAAGAAAGTAGTTGTTAGTAAAAAATATCGGTTTTGTTTTAAAAATTGTTTGCAAACAATATATTTTAGTTTGCATCTTATCGGCTGAATATTTTAGACAATTTGTTTGTTTTTAATTAATATGAACTAAAAGATACTAATTTTGTATTTCCAATCGTATTTTTACCATTAATTGGTAGTTTAAAAAATTAGTATGATGGCAAAAGTATATGTACGAGGCATAGTATATAGTAAAAATAGTATGATATTGTACATAACATACTATATTATTATAATATTTTATAAAATACGTATATATAATTTTAGTATAATGTTAAGTGAATTTGTAGAAACTTTTTAATCTTTATAATGTGAACTATTAGCATCATCATATATTATCAGTTTAACATATATTTTAATCAGATATAAACTTAATTTGCATATGAGTTTTGTACAAAACTGTAGAATAATAATTAATTATCCCAGGTCGTATAAGTTTAGGCAATATAATGCCATTTATTTTTTATTATATTGTGTTTCTTTACCATTGAAAAATTTAATGAAACATAATATTGTTGTATTTCGGAAAAGTGAAACGTTCAGATAGTTGAATAAGTTGTATATAGTTTATTAAAAAACGACGAAATTATATTAAATTACATAAAACACACTTGGTACAATGACGTCATTATTCTCAACAACAAATATAATTCGATAAACATTCAACATTTCTTACACAGAGTGTTCAGTATATAAAGAAACATTTCAATCGTTACAAACCACGAGAACAATAGAAACCCGTTTCCTTGCCTACTGAACACCATACTGCATTAAATACAGGTGGCTAAGTCATATTACATACTTTTGTGATGATGTTATTACCTTTTTACGCGCTGTTCTTAAATTTCTGTAATAATACCTTCTGTACCATCCATTTTAACTTTTTTTATCTTCGTTCGGAACCAAGACAGTTAACATATTTGTGAATTGGGTATAACCGCGGGTCGTCTAAAATAAGAAAATAAACTTTTTGGCAAAGTTCCATCGATTCGATTACTATCTCGTTTCATATGCATACGTATATTATAGTGTATATATCTACCATTGTGCAGATTCTAACTGTCGAGGGGGACGACCGGTAACGATTTCCTCGGGGAAACAAATCCATAACCGTTCGCCATCGCTTCTGTAATTCCTTCTGGGCAATGACAATTGTAATTTGTAGTTACGGCTACTACACTAATCGAAAATTCTAATGTTTTAGTAACATTAAAACGATTTAGGTTTTGTGCGGTTGAAAATAAAACCGTTTCAGGCTTGTATTACAATATGTTGTTATTGTCTTACAGATTTATATAATACTATCACCAGAGCACAGTGCGTCAAGGGGTTTCAAATAATATAGTACCTCCGGGACCCGTGACTTTTGTGAACGGTAACGTTATGAATAAATATACTGTCCTTGAAATAAAATTAATATATTATGAGTGTCTTAGAATGGAAAATGTTGAATTTTTCTTTTCGGGCGCCAAGTTGATATGGGTTCCAATAACAATGACTATAATGAGTCGAGCCAAAGAATGATCACAAACAATTTTTCAAGAAAATAAAACTTTCTAAAGAAAAAAAAGTAAAAAATACCACATCTTGTTAGTTGTTAACCTTCTTTGTGTCCAATATTTATATTGTAAAACATAACAGAAGTATAAAAACTGAGTTTAATTAAAGTTTTAACACTTTAGTAATAACTAAGTGTTCTTGTAAAAAATGTTTCCTAATTCAGAACTTTTAATAATTACTTGGATTTTATACCTAACAGTTAAATCGTTTGTATGATGTCGCATAAGAAATTTTTTCTTTTTTATTAAATTAATAAATAACACCAATAAAAAAAACAATAAATGCGCATGTTTTCGCTTCCATTAAAACACATTTCATGACATCTAATCTATCGATCGGTAGCGAAGTATAAACCGTCTTGTGATAACTTAAAGTTGATTGGATTTATTTATAGTTCGTTCAAAGAAAAGGAGTTTCATTTTATCAAGTTATTGACATTCAGACTTGAAATGTTATAATTTTGCAGAAAAAATATGCAAAATAATATCGATTTGATTTGAAAGTTTTAATTTTATTGAAATCGATACAGTTTTAGAAATACATTTTTGTATAGAAAATTATATTAATCTCTAAAGGAAAATTTTCGGGAAATTTAATGTGACTGCTAACGTCATGTATTTAATATTACTGATGACGAATTTTGACATAATTTAACAAATTTTTAATAATATGAAATAAGCAGTTTTTTCAGATTGTAATATACATTCAAGGATGATTTTTTATCTTGACGTGTGACTTGTTTGTATTAGTATTACATTTGTCGTGTGTACATACTGAGCAGATGATATCTAACTTGACACATTATAAAAGTATCTTCGTGTGTGAACCAAAGTGTGCTTATGTACACGTATAAAATGTATCTACACGTATATACATACACATACATATATTATGAGTATGTTTCTCATTATATTGTCTCAGGAAAGTAGATAAATAATATTTTGTTTGCTTTGACTGCACACCCATTTGAGGTTGACATATTTCGATATAGGCAAATCCTAAAGTAGGGCGTGGTGTGGCGCTGTGGATCATTTATCCGCCGCCTCAGCGCTAATATTCAGTTGTGCTGTTGGTAAGTGACCACACGGGAACTTTTACAGTGGCACGCGCCCTTTCCCGTACTGGATCCTCGACCATAATGAGGTTGCATCAGGTTGACAGTCGATGTAAAAATTCCATCACTTAAGTAGAGCCAGCCCATATATATAGTTGGGATAGAAGCTAAGGAGTTGATGATGACAAATCCTGAGATATAATTGTTGAACACACGCCTTGTATCATTCGCTTGGTAAAATTTATTTAAAAGCAAAACTAAAGATTTAATCCTCTTCTTAAGAGTTAATAAGTTATTCAAGATTTCCTTTCAAACATATGTTATTCATTAACGTCTAATTAATTGAGGTTATTTGGTTTATAATAAAATATAGCTGATATTTATAAAGCTAATAATTTTATTGTTATTAATTTTCATCAAATAATGTATAGGTGTATAACAATTTATACATTATTAAGATTTCTTTTTGTTTAAAAAATGTAATGTATTCTTTCAAAAGTTTTGAATTTTAAATAAAAAAGTGTGCAATTTATTTTTAAAATGTTCTCAGTTCTAATCAAAAATGCATTTCTCAAGCATATAAACATTTTATTTATGTTAGAGCAATCGTTGCTATCATTTTAAAACTGAATGCGCGCCTGTTTGTAAATTTTGGCTTTTTAAGTCTATATAATTTAAAGTACATAGGTTAATATAAAAAAAGGAATAAGCTAAACTATAAACTAAACTAGAAAATATTCAACTGTTTAAATTAAGGCAACAAGGATAATTTATATCCTAGTTACTTTCCCCACATCTTAATAAAAAAAAATTACATATATAGCAAATAAATCTATGAAAAATTAGATAATAAACTGAACATTTAATTAGATGAAACAACACTGGTAAAAAATCAATATTATTCGTTTTAAAATTTACCAGATATTTTTTAATTGAGTTATTTAAAATAATCTGACTTCTATTACAACATTTCAATGCTTCCAAGTAATATAAAAGACATTATTTGTAATTTTACAGAAAAGTCAAAATAAAAGTAATGAATTTTAATAAATGACATTTAGGCAAAATCTTTTAATATCGGTTTGTAATAATTCTTAGAATTACAATAATCAGATTTGTCAATATAAAACCGACGAGTTTAGACAAAAATACTCGCATTTTATTTACAAAAAAAAAAAAAAACATTTACGACCTTTTGTTTGGGTCATCAATTTTATCTGTTTTTAGTTTTTCACCAAGACAATTCTTTCGATTAGTTTTTGACAAGGTATCATATTTATTTATATACAGAGTGTTCAATAAGTTCGGAAACACCCATTTTTTAGAGCCGCTATTGAGTTTTTTAATAATTTTTTTTTTTAGAAGCTAATTGAATAATTAAAGGCATCTTTTACGATTAAAATTTAAGTTCAACCCTAATGCAAAAGGGTAGAAATCTACCCTAACTTAAGAAATTTAAATGGCAACCCCTAATTTTTTTTACTAATTTCAATAGAGAATTCAATTTTAAAAAGAATTATGGTGAAAATAACTATTTATGTTAAACCATTTTTAAATAATCGTTGTTTTAAGGGTAGAAAAGTGTCCTATTTGAAGACAGATTTTGTTATGATCATTTTTATGAATTTAATTTTATAAAAATGATATCAATTGCAAATTATCTGGAAATTTATTAAGAAAAAAAAAATTTTTATTAAAGCATGTAAAAAGAACTTAAATGGACATTTTAAAAATCGCTCTCTTATACGCGATCTTTAATTGGGGTATTTGTAGAATATAGCATTATCGGTCAATGCATAACATAATGTTTCCGGACTTTTTCCTATAGGAGTTTTAGCATTGATATCTAACATACATAACTAGTGTACACTTTTATCTGTGACCGTTGAAACGTGTTCAATTGTTATAGTCGCTTTATCGACAATTAGTGTCACTTTAAGTACGTCATGCTGTCAAACATATTACAGGTAGTAGTTTGTAAGATTACACAAAAATTATCAGTGGTCATTATAACATTATTATTATTCAATACGCAACAACGTTTCCAAACTTATGCCTATAGGAGTTGTAATATACTTTTCAACTACCAACTAATAATTATTTTTAACTCATATTAAAGTAACTAGTCCACAT